CCTGGTGAAGACGCCGGGCAGAGAGAAGCTCAAGATCACGGCCATGCTGGGCGTCCTGGCCGATGGGCGGAAGCTGCCGCCCTACATAATCCTGAGGGGCACGTACATCCCGCCTGGGAAGTTCCCCAGCGGCATGGAGATCCGCTGCCACCGCTATGGGTGGATGACGGAGGACCTGATGCAGGACTGGTTGGAGGTGGTGTGGCGGCGGCGGACTGGGGCCCTGCCCAAGCAGCGGGGCATGCTGATCCTGAACGGCTTCCGCGGCCACGCCACCGACTCGGTGAAGAGCTCCATGGAGAGCATGAACACCGACATGGTGATCATCCCCGGGGGCCTGACCTCGCAGCTGCAGGTGCTGGACGTGGTGGTCTACAAGCCGCTGAACGACAGCGTGCGCGCCCAGTACTCCAACTGGCTTCTGGCTGGGAACCTGGCCCTGAGCCCCACCGGCAATGCCAAGAAGCCGCCCCTGGGCCTCTTCCTGGAGTGGGTCATGGTCGCCTGGAATAGCATCTCCAGCGAATCCATTGTCCAGGGGTTCAAGAAGTGCCACATCTCCAGCAACCTGGAGGAGGAAGATGGTGTCTTGTGGGAAGTGGAGAACGAGCTACACGGAGGAGGTGAACCCCCTGCGGAGAGCATGGCGGAGAGCAACTGAGGGGCCAGCTCCTTGGTGGCTGGTCAGAGTAAGTGCTCAGGGCTCTGCCATCCCAGGCTGCCAGCCAACCTACCTCTCTCCAATATCTGTTTTGAGTTCTCAGAGTCCACGGGGCAGTGTGCGGGTGCCAGACCAGGCAAGGGCTGTCTGACGCCCTTCATGGGTACTGTGCCCTGGGGCCCAGATCAGGAGCACTTATATACTAGTGAAATGAACAAAGGGTGAGCTGCCCAACACGGAATCTGACAGCTGTAACTCTGTAAGAAATTATTTGGACCTAAAAGGGTCTGATAATGTGCAGCTCAAAAAAATTTTTGTCTGAAAAAGACAACTTTTTTCTTTCCCTTATAATTCACACAGAATGTTTAGGGCCATTGTGTGCCTGATGTCCTTGAAGGACCAGGACACAGGGCAGGAGGCCTGCCTTCAGTACCGCATCTGCTGAGCCTCAGGTCTCCGTCCTGGGCTGGTCTACACCTAACACCTGCCAGAGAGTAAACACACACTTCACATCTTCAGTCTCATCCTGGCCTTGGGGTGGGCGGGCTGTTATGCCAGCAGATGTCTGCAGGATGGTGCTGTAAAACCGAAATCTTTGCACCAGAAACAAAATAAAGCAGGGTGCCACCTAACACTACAGATGGAGGGCCTGGGATAGGGCCGAGTGCAGAGCAGCAGCTGAGAGGAAGAGGGAAGGAGCCTCCCTCACCCACACTCCCCTGGAGGGAGCAGCAGGCCGCAGGCAGCCAGGAAGTGCCCAGGGCAGGCCACTCCAACCTCCTTGCTTCACAGGAAGTGAGGTCATCCCTTAGAAGACTGAACCACCTTGATGTGGTTCTGTATGTGAAAGTATAGTTCCATCGGTGTGGAAGAGTGGCTCAGGCCTCCTTGCTCACCCCCACATCATCAGTTAGTCATGTCCCTACCTACACTGTCACTCTGGGCCCCTGCAGTTAGCACAGAGCAAGACCTTATTGTATACTCGGGATCACAGAAATGGCCTGTTGCTTCCTCATGTCCCCCACTTTGATAAGCCAGTGTTCTCACCTTTTGCTTTTCCCTCTACTTGTCAGATAACATGGGGGGGGGGCATTTTCAGTTTCCCGAGTGTCCCCCCCCCAGGGCCTCGATCAGGAACTTCCAGAAGGGAAGAAAGCTGACTACCCTGCAGCTGTGAGCAAGGCACCTCCGCACACCTCAGCCTGGGCTTTCTTGCCACAGACACAGCTGTCTGGCTCCTCAGGAGGCAGGGGAGGAGACAGGGACATAAAACTAATGGAATTGCTATTTTTGTTAAGATATCCAGAAATCCAAAGGTTAATTCACATTTAGTTCTGTGTTTTCCAGCAAATGGCACTGACAGCAACAGAGGGGGGAAATGACTCCCGAACACGGTGGATGTACAGGGAGCAGCAGGAAGAAGTGACAGGGCTCTCAACAGCCCAGTTCTGGACAGCGAACAGTGTCCATCCTGGGACACGCCCTGCCTGCCCCTTGAAGTGTCCGCAGCAAAGTAGAAGACCCTTAATTTCATCAGCAACAAGATTAGGAAAGAACCCTTCTGCCCATTTCTTGGAGATTATCTGCCTCTCCATCAGAAGGAGCCTGTAAGTAGGCGAGGGCAAGGTGCTCCTGGGGAGCAGGACCCCACACCATGGAGACCCAGCATGTGGGCACAGCTCTGGTGTGTGAAGAAGCTTTCTGCAGAGAAGACCTCGAGTGGGTGTGTGTCTTGCCTTGAGAATGCTTCCAGAAGCACAGCCCATGCCCACAGGGTCACAGGTTTTATGGAAGGGCATCATAAGCCCCTTAGGGAAAATGATACACTGATGCTAACAGCAAAATTAAGACACCGTGGCCTGGTGCCAGCAGGTGGCTTTTCTGAAGACAGACTAGGTTAGTATGGAAGACATGGTTAAAGTAAACTTGCTGTTCCATCTTCGCAGTCTGGATGGCAGCTAGACTGTGGGGTCTTGTCTGGTGGGCCTGCCTCTTCACTGTCCTGCTTAATGGTGAAGGCGGCACTTGGTGCGCAAGCTCCTGCTCTCGGGCCACCTGCAGACATCCCTGAGAGGGGTCTGCTGTCCACGGGGTACAAGGCCTACAGACTCATCTGGTACTTTTTAATGTTCTTGTAACAAGGGCTGTGGGAGGGCACAGGCCTCTACCACAGCTGTTTGGAGACCTGTGATCATCCATCCTGCAAGGACAGCTGGAAGGTCGTTGAGTTTTTACACAGTGGTCACTACATTCCCATCAAGTTGAGTGTTTCGAAGACATTCCTTCAAACCCGCCTGAGCTGCAGAACCTCAGAAGAAGCCGTCACTAGGAGCCGTCACTCCTGGATGGGGCCTGCTCACTGGCTGCTGCAGTCACTCCTAGACGCAGCTCACAGCTGTCTTACAAGCTTTTCTTGGCATCTTGAAGCGCCTATTTCTACTCAGGTACTCCTCTTCCTTTAGTGATTCACCTTTCTGATCTTTTTAAACCCGTCTCCCCATAGGAAGAAAACTCCACTTAACTTCTAATATCCAAATAACTTTCACTATCTGAATTGTTCCCCTATTTGCTTTATATTCTATATTCTTGCACATCCAAAAACAACACCCAGAACCTGTTACTTTTCATTCCAGAAGCTTCCATTCCTTCCTTAATTTTTTCTCCAGTGGCCCAGTTCCTGGCCCTTCTCCATGTCCTATTTCTCTTGCTTTGGAAGCTTAAAAGATGCTATAGGACCTAATTTTAGGTTCCTCTGTGGGAGCCAGTTACCTTGCGGAGATAACAGAAATGGTTCGACCCGTCTTGACCCGTACCTCACGTCTCCTCGCCAGCAGAGACGATGCCTTACAGGCTGCGCAGCACCCGAGCGTTCCTGGAGGGACAGCACGCCGCCAGTCTCCTGGGCTTCCTTCCGCGGTCTGTGCCTAACAGCCCCAGCACAGCCGTTCCGCAGAATGACTATAGCACACTTGGACATAGTGTACTCCCTGGTAGATAGATAGGAAGTGACCCCAACAATAAACTTTGATAATAAAGTCACTAGGTCATGGTGCTTTTATTTACCTGCTGACAGTGTCAAAAGTCACTTACATTTTAAGCTTTTTGTCTATATTCCCCACCTAATTCTGTACCAACACACTATCCTTTGAATCCAAGCGTTCATGGGATACAGTAATACTGGTGTCCTTGAAGGCAAAGGAAGAAAATATTTGTGGTTTTAAACTGGCTTTTAAAGGTGGGGGAGGTCTACCATGAATAGCTCTTTTTCTCCTTTTGGGTGCTCAGGAATGGAATGTTACCAAACCACATAAGGAAAGTCCTTAAAGGATATGAATTTACTTTGTATCTTGTTCTCACAAATGTCTTCTAAAACAAAAGCATCATGGGCCCGTAGTTCCCTTTATCCTGTGTAAAATGAGTCCTGCCCTGTTAATGTACCATCTGCTCTCCAAGAATCATCTAGACAGTGTTTTTCCTTTTTAAACCTTCAATTAAATGGACTGTTCTGCTGGCCACACTGGCCAAGCCTGACCCCTAAGGCTGCTTTATTACCCTTCCTCCCAGGGCCATTTTGAGTCAGACCTAGTAAGACAGGTGGCCAGTGGAAAGCAAGCACTGAGAAGACCCTTGGGAAATCCGGGAAGGTCGGCGACCAGTCAGTGCAAGGGAGTGTTTGGCACACACACCAGCCCTCCTCACCCTGGAAAAGGCAGGCCTCGAGTGTGCACACCTGCAGCAAAGACTCATCCATAGTCCTACAGGAGAAGTCGCTGGGATCCTCCTGAAGCTACCTGGGCTCTGGCTGCTTTTCCCCCACTGAACTGTTTTCTGAGTAACTCCTGATGGTAACTGCAGAAGACGCCCTGGGACCTTCCAGCTACAGGTGGCAGGGTGGAGCCGGTCTTTGGCACTAAGGTTCCCTTTGAGGGGCTCTCCTGAAACCCCGTTTACTCTGTCTTCCTGCCTTACCTCACTGCCACCTCCCAGTTTGGAGTCCTCTTGAGAATTGTCACGGAGGCAGACGTTCTTATATCAGCGCAGAAATGAACCTGAAGCACAGGGAGCAGGTCCAGTGGCATCCTGAGTTTGCTGTGCACAGGCTCCACGGGGCCCTGTGGCTATGGCAGAAAGACAGCGGCTCCTGGCTGCGTCTCCATGTGGGAGCACAGGGGACGCCGGCATGCTCCTGGGCAGCGGAGGCCCGGGGTACTGCAGTCCCAAACAAAACCTCCATACTCACTTCTGAATCAGCTCAGATTCTTCCAGATTCTAAAAAGTCAAGAGTCCTGCCTTACCGAGTACTCTAAATGGCTTATGCAAAAGCTGAAACTAAGCTGCCTTTTTTTTTTTTTTTTTTGGTGTTAAAAACATCACAAAAGAGAAATGGTAGAGCTTAACGGGAGCCTGCCCTTCAGTCTTTCTCGTCTAGTACACTCTGAAAAGTCTCCGCCAAGATCTCACAAAACAGGGCTTTACTATTTCTGTATGATATTTTTCCTTATGTATTTACTTTAATAAACAACAAAAAGGTTTTCTGCCAAAACATTTGTCACGCTTAAAGTACAAAATCAAATACAGAGCTTCAGACGTATGAACTATATACACATACCCATACATCCATTCCTCAGTCCTATACAAACCCACCTACAGTCTAATTTGTCCATCAACACTATTGAGTAAAAAGCATATATATCTCTAGAAAACAAAATGGTTTTCAGTAACACTGTCAGTGGATTATTTTCAATTTAGCACTTAAAAGGGTAGAAATAGATATTTCCTACAAAGAGAATTAACAACCATAAATCCAATTTGTAAGATTTCTTAAAACGTGTTCTATAGGAATAATTAGTAGACGTGCCTTCAGTCACCTCTGGTCATATTACAGATTAGCTATAGCAAGACACCTTTTAAGGATCATTAACAGAAGCACCTGCCAATCATCCTACAAACGAAGCCGCAGGAAGACGTCTTCTAAAGCAGACTGCGTCCAAGAGGGTGGGTTGCCTGGGCTTAATTTTGTCCAACAGCACAGCATCTGCAAGTCACGTTTTCTGTGGAGCTGAAATGGTGGATGGCTTGGAGGCTACCTCAAGGTGTTAAAAACTAAACCCTTCACTAAAGGAGGTGTCCGAGTTTCAACACTGGATAGGTTATACCAACAAAAAGCAAGAGTGTAGAAGTTTATCTGGCCAGACACAGAACACAAGAATGTCCTGCCAGTCGAGGGGACACTCTAGGATGGTCCATCTTACACAGGGCCTCAGACAGGCGTCCTCTCCAGGCACAGGACTTCATCATGCCTGCCCCCGTACCTGGGAACACGCAGACACGCAGACGTAACTGGCCTGTATTTACACGAATGGCCTTGCAGCAGCAACAGAAAACACACTCACTGTCCCATTTCCATAGGAAAGGTTATATGTACACTCCACACTTCAGCCTCGAAATGCGGACCCCAAACATGCCCTCTTCAGCAAGCAATGACCCGTGAGGACCCCACACCCTCCAATCGCACTTAGCAGAGCAGAAGCCCCTCCTTGGCCGCCAGGCGCTGGCGGTGGACTTGGTCTTGCTGCAGCTCCTCGTGATTCGGGTGCCAGAGCCTCATGATGATCCTCTCGATGTTGAGGGCATACACGGTGTGTGTAGGGATGACTTCCCGGTGTACCTGGGGATCAAACATCAGCAGTCTCCGGTTATCCTTCAGCAGGCTTACTTTTCCAACATAGAGAATGGGTTTACGTCAACACACCACGGACAGGACACTACCCAGAACCTGAACGAGAGCCTAATGCATCCCAAGTCAGACAAAAAGGAACGAGGCACCGCCGAGTTCTGAATAAGCGGCAAGCACGCCATTTCCTTTTTTTGGAGAGGTCAAGGATGAGGGAGGTAAATCAGGAATTTAATAATAAACAAAAAGCGAAAAACAGAACCAAGAAGTAGAAACAAGCCAGCACACGACTCCGCAGACTTGAAAAGCCGCCAGCCTGTCCGACCCGAGGAGCCGAGAGTTACCTGCAGAGCCTCAAGGAGGTCGTACATGTTCACTGGAGGCAAGGGCGCAGGCAGCGCGTCCCCAGAGCAGGCCAGCAGGAGTGCGGCCTGCTGCTCAGCAGCGTCCGGGGGCAGGTGGGCAGCCGGGTTCTGACCCGCACAGGGAGTGGACACAGCCGGAGGGCTGAAAGACATAGCAGAAACACTCCCAGCATCTCCCACAGACAACCCGCCGATGGACAGAGGGGCTGGCCAGGCCACAGCTCCCTACAACTGCCTTCAACTCCACAGAAACCCATCCGTGCCCACGTCAGGCTGGACACCAGCACACTCGCACTGAGTTAGCTCGGGGGCTGAGCCAGACTGTCTCCTGCCCTGAGGAGCTTTCAGTTGAAAGAGAAAGAGACCGCGAAAGGGGACGCTGGCCAGCACAGGGCTGCGCGTTTCCAAAATTGCCCAGGCAGCGCGCCGAGAAGCCGGGCGGGATGTGTACGTCAGAGAAGCTGGAGAAAGAGCGCGGTTCCTCGGAACACCAGGACAGCGGGCAGCATCCAGCAAGAGCAGCCCCCACGCCCTGGCCAGCAGCCCACCACGAGGAGCCACTTTCTGTTTTCGTCAAGAGAAGCATGACTTCAGTGAAAATCCCAAACAGGTGGCAGAATGACATCAGACGAGAACCATCACTTGTGGCCCAGGGCCACTGCCCCCAGGCGGGTGCTGCCCAAGGAGCCACACTCCACCACACAGCAGAGAGAGGGTCACAACAGACCCCAGGCAGCAGCCCGACCCTGGAACTGATAAAAATGACAGTAATTCGCTGGATGGCCTGCGAGCCTAAGACTGAAGAGAACAGAACCGAAGAGTGGGCGGAACTCCTGCCACACTACAGGAACCCAGTGACCAATGACCTGGCGAGAGGTCTGCCACCAACAAGCCGGGGCAGAGGGAGAATCGCGAGAAAGCACTTACCCTTCGATTAGGCTATTGTAGGCCACCACGCTGTTCTTCAGGTACGGCTGTGGGGTCACATTGCTCCCGAAGGCATACTTAAAGTGGCCATCTCGCAGCCGGTGCGCTTTCCTTCTGGACACAACTGACGTCAGTATGTCTTTGAGGTGGCTCTGAAAAGCAGAGGGAGAGCACCACCACCTCAGAGCAGACCACGGCTTCCATGACCATCTGCAGAGTGTGGGACTGGCCGGCACAAGCCAGAACCGCGTGAGTGGTCAGCCAAGAGCCAGCAGCCGCTCTAAAGAGAAGCGGCACGGGGAGGAGGGCACGCGCATTTGCATCCAGTTCCCTTTAAAAATGGTCTTGCCCTACAATGAATTTTTAAAGTTTTCATTACTCTAAATTGGCTCGTTTCTCTCAAAAATGATTTTCAATAAATAATTTATTTTTAAAGCTACCTGGAGACTTGGTTTAACATGGGAGGAAAAGTTTCAAGATCTAATATTTACTGGTTATACGATCCTTACGTGAAAAGAACCTGTGTTCTCAAAAGCCACAGAAACAAACATAGGATCTCTCAGAGAAGTAGACACAAACAATGTCTATTTAATTTCTTTTTGCCTTTCTAAAACTATGTATTTAACTTCTTCTGTGAGAGCCAAGTGTATGAGGAAAGGTTGCAGAATGACTATGAAAATAGATGTAGAACTACGCCAGCCTATGGTCACTAACAGGTGAGCCGGACCTGGGAGGGTGTTCCCTTACACCAGGAGGACCATCTTCTATCAAGTCATATTTAACGTGATTCAACACGGGTTTCACAGAGAACCCATGACTGTCTGTAACTTCATGAGCCAGCTGTGGTTATCTCTGATGTACAGAGGAGGAAAATGGGGCTCAGGAATTGAAAGGAATTACCCAGTGCTCCCTGAGCACCTCCAGGTCACAGTACAACGTGTAATTGTCAAACAGCTAGATAAGTAAATGGACGCATGGGCTAGCGTGCGAGGCACCTCTGCTACTCCGACGCCACGCCCAGCGTGCTACACACGCAGAGGCCCTTGGCCTCACTCCGTCCTTGACACCACTCCCTCAGCGCTGCACATCAGATCAGAAGTGTTAGGCCCTACCCGAGCTTCCCAAGAGCCCGTCCATCAATGGCACAGTTCTCTGGACTGTGACATGTGACAGAGACGGCTCTCTGACACCAAGGTGGCGCCCGGCTCTTCGGCGACAGCGTCACTTGCCACACACAGGAGCGCCTCACGCTCAACCCGCAGCCCCTCTGCCGGCAGCACACCAACCTCCACCGCATAGACCACGGCTGAGACGGCGTCCTCGGCCACGTTGTCCAGCCCGTGCTCGTAGGCCGTCACGATCATCCTCCCCTCGAGCTGGCCGCGCGTGGGAAGCATCATCGTGTGGGAGCAGAGTTTCAGGTCGTCGTCATCCTGGGGGTCCTTTGCCACGAACTGCTGTGCTCCGGAGAGGGGGTTCTGGGGCTGGAATCTATGCTGAGTGACAGAGGATGCAGGGCCACTCGTCACCACAGCAGCAGACACACAAGAGGGAGCCATGTCTTAGACCCGAGACCCTTCAAATGAATGCCACCAAAACGTGACAGTGGCAAAAAAACAGTGACTCACAAATAATCACACACTCGGGCCCATCACACTGGACAATGGAGACGTGAGCTCAGGGACACTGGCCACAGAGTTCCTTCTGTTCAGCAAGGACCATGGTGGCCACATGCTCTATGGTCCTGTGCTAAAGATCACAACTCAGGAGCAAACAGGACACAAAGTTATGTTCAAAGAGCAGAGAACTCTCAGCACCGCCCTTTGGCCTTCCACCTCGCTGGCCAATGGCAGACCCAGTAACAAGCCCCCTGAAGACGCCTGAGACAGCGCCGCCTACCGACTGTTGCTGTCTACTACAATTCTCAACAGAGCCTCGGCCTCGCCACACTACCCGAGTCGATGTTCTCAGTCTCCCTTCGTTCATACCACTCAGCCTTCCTCAGGACTGTCCACCATCACTGGGAGACAGGCTCCTGGCAGCTCTGGCTAACGCCCAGATCCTGCACTGAAGGCAGTGTTCCTGCTCCAAGCCTCTATTATAAAAATAACCACTGTCGATTTTCCTTTTCCTAAGCATAAAACTGCACTCCACAGTGAATGGGCCTATGTGAACCCCGTGTGCCTCTGGACATGCTGAGGCCCTCCAGAGTGCACACTGTTACTGATACAAGGGGGAGAAATAAATGTTTGGTGATATTAGTCGACAAAATGATTACTTCCCAGGCCAACCTCAAAGGAGGACATTATCAAAAACTTATTCCCCTAGAGATAAACTTTTTGAAAAATACAGGTTTTTCCAAATATTCTCAAACAGTTACGAATTTTATAAGCAAAGAGGCTGAGCCCAAGCAGGCACTGCAGGGGCCTGCAGGGGCCTCCAGGCTGCTAAGCGCCACCCGGGATGCCCTCAACCCGGGAAACCCTTGGGTATGAGTGAGAACCTATTAACCCTGGAGAAGTAACAGACCACAGTCTTGAGACCCTTTCCTCCCTAAACCACACCCTTTCTTCAGCCCTCCCACCAGTTCTGAAATGTTCATTTCAAATAGAGCCAGGTCACCACACTGCCACTCGAGTCATGACCAGCCGTCACTGTGAGGGAAGACCTACGTCAAACTTCTGGCGAACAGAAGAGAGCTTTTTCTTGCCCTTGGGCTTTCCAGGCTTGGCCGCAGATCCCCCCGTCCAGGGCAAAGATCCAGCACCCTCTGTGAGACAGAAAACAGCAATCGTGAGTGAAAGCGACGACGATGCCTACTGCGGGTCTGTTTTCACTTGGAATTTTAAAGCATGGAAGCTCACGTAATGAAAATAAGGAATGAATGAATGCTCAAATTTGGATCTTCTCTTTCTACTTTCCTGAACAAAATTATAGACACTTCAAATCACATTTTTTTCTAGCCGTAACCAAAAATATTTTAGGAAGACAAATGTGATTTTTCTGCTTTAGTTAGTATTTCCTGGGCGTTCGTCCCTTGGGGCATTACTGTAAAGGCAGGACAGACCTCCAGCCCTGTGAGCTGAGCATGAGCACACATCTCCTCTCCTGCCAGGAGCAGTGGAACCCAGCAGGGGCAGCAAGAGCGAGAAGCCAGCAGGGAGGAGGCAGTGGCCGAGGGCACAGCACCGTGCCAGGCAAGGGGAGGACAGGGCCAGTGGACATAGGAGGCAAGGACACCAACTAACCAAGGCCTGCACCCAGGACAGCCCAGAACAAATGTTTAGCCGCTCATTCAAAAACTGACCATCTCAAGACCATGGAGGTAACATCCCAAACCAAGTGTGGGGGCCCCACTCACTCCCGGGCCCAGGGCACGGCAGGGTGGGTGGTAGGAGGAAGGAGGGACAGAGGGCTCTTCTCTAGGCACACTGAACAAAACTTCCAGGACTGGCTACCATAGCTGCTGCAGATGTTCGGGCCCAGCACAAAGAACAAAGCTCTCTGTACACTGATTTGGGGAACTCCCACCAGCTTTCTCCAAAGTAGTCTCCTGGCCATCACACACTGTACTCTTATAATGAAGAGGACAACAAATCACCAGATGCTGGACCCTGCTTGGTAATACACTGTATTAGTCCATTTTTCATCACTATAATAAAATCTCTAAGGCAAACTGCTTTACAAAGAAAAAGGTTTATTTGGCCCACAGTTCTGGAGACCCCAGGGCATGGCTCCAGCATCAGCTTAGCTCTTAAGAGAAGCGCATGGCCAAGGGCAGGAGCACATGCAAGAGAGAGGTCACGAGGCACCAGAGCACTCAAGAACTCAGGAGTCCCGTCAGCTCCCTTCCGCCCTTCTGAGGCCACTCCCTCAACCACTGAGGGCCTCTGGCCAGGCCCCACGTCCTGAGGGTGCCACCTTAGGCACACCTCCACTGAGCACCACTAACAGTGAGCCCTTGGCGGACAGACCACATCCAAGCCACTGGACACCGTAAGTCGACCAAGCTACCCACGCAAACAACAGAGGTCCTATAGAGCTGGCACCGGCAGAGGCCGAGACCCACGTCCAAGAGGAGGAGAACGCCGTAAAAAATGCTGAATCAAAGAAGGGACTGGAGGGGCTGGGGCTCTGGCTCCGCAGTACAGCACTCACTCGCCCGGCAGTGCCAGGCCCTGGGCTCCATCCTCACACGCATGAAAATAAGTAAATAAAGGAATTTTAAAAAAAAGGAACTTGACAGAAAGGCAGCAGTTAAGGGTTGGGGACACCCCAAGCAAGAGGGCGAAGGGAGAAGAGGCACGCCGTCAGACTGTGGCCGCCCCGGGCAAACCCCCGTGAGGGGGCAAGCAGGAGGCCAGCGGGCTGGGCAGGCGAGGGGGGCGGCTCCCGGCACCTTCTGTGCCACCGAAGCTACGAGAGAACAGAGCTCAATGCGAACACCAGCAGCAGGAGCTCCTCAGAGTGCACCGAGAAAAGTGCCTCCAGAATTAAACAAAAAAAACACCCATGACCCAGTAAATGCTCTTTTTTGGAAAAAAGGAGTTTTTATAACTTTTGGGGGAAAACATATCCAGGTTCCTCGTTAAAAGAGGACTCTTGGGAAGTCAGGCCCTCCTGTCCATCACCCTTCACACACCCAGGTCTAATATGATGAGGTCAGCTTCTCCTGGTGAGAGAGGGTGGACTGGCCAGGACAAGTGCTGGACAGGTGGAGAAGGCGCAGGCTGGACCTGCACCTGGCGGACAAGCTCGGGCTGAGGACGAAGAACGCGCAGCGTGGCCCTGGCTGGGGGCTTCTCCAGCGTAGATCCTGGTTTGGATCAGCACCTCCATTTGGCAGGCGGGACAGCACCTCAGCCAAGTCTTGGGTTTCTGTTCTGTTTTCTCTTCTCTGAAGCTGTTCCTCATCTCTAAGAGCAGCCTCACTGCCCTGCGTCGTGCTGTGACACTGACCAGGACAGGCGCAGGGTCCTCAGGCTGCAGCCACCAACACATGGCGGCTCAGTCACTGCTCCTGCCTGCCTCAGAAAAGCAGAAGCCCGGCCACAGCCGCTGGGCAGGCACACGCACTGCACCATCCTCACTGAGACGTCTCTACTGCTGGCCAGCATCCCTTCGTCTTAAAGGAATCAATACTGAGCGTGCAAGCGAAATATACTCTTCAGTCCAAAGAGGAAGCTTCTTATTTTAAAATAACAGTTAAACACATGCAAAAATGTCAAGTTTTAACTAACTGGATTTAGGTAATTGAAGCCGGCTCCTACACTGACACCACTTAGGTTTGTCCGGCACCTTCTTCTGCTCTCCCCTGGCTCTCCTGGGAACTCACAGGGCACACCTAGACGTGGATGTGGAAGTTGAAAACCTGCAAGTCCTTGCTCATGTGACGGAGGCTGGCAGCACACCAGCTGGACCCCATGGGCTCTCCCAACCAGGGCTCTCCCCTCTCAGCAGGCCGCTGACCTGTGGTGGCGGCACTTCACAGCAGAGCGACAGTGCTGGCTTTTCAGCTCAAAGCAGATGATGAGCAACAAAGCAGATGAACTATCTCATCCACTTTGGGTGTAAAACATCTGGCTAAAGCCCTCTTCTGCCCCTGAGGGTGCCGAATCAGACACGCAGGTGGCACAGGGGCTGTGGGGGGGCGGGGGGACAAGGACCCTTTGAAGCTTCTGTGCAGCGCTTGGGGAGGGCAGGCGTCAGCTGGAGACGGCCTGGGGACTCTTTACCCTCCAAGGAACACAACCTGAAGGGGGACAACACAAATACCAGTCCTTCTTGGTAAGACACAGGCCACCGAGATGCTGAAAGATAAACCAACTGATGGACACAGTCAGGAGGTGCCTTCCAGGCCAACCTCAGTCACGAGGGGAGCTTTGCCTCATTAAATAAGATACCCAAAGAGGTACCTTACAACAGTCGGCCATTTCAGCTCCACTGTCTCAGGGGTCAGTGTCTTGAACACAACCCTGCAGGCTGACTCTCACCAGCCCCCACCTGCGGCTCTCGAAGTGAGGAGCCAACAGGCACCCCAGCCCCACCCTCCAGGAGCAGCAAGCACCCCAGCCTGCAGGTGGAGCCCAGCTCCCTAGTGCCCACAGTCCCCCACCCCATGATTTCACATGTTATTACCTGTCCCCCACCCGACCTCCCAGCCTCTCCGGCCTGCTCACTTCCTTGTGCAATCTGAACCGCGGCTGACCGCTGAGGCAAGACCAGCGGTTACCAATGAGGCAGGAAAAAAGTTTCTAGGTAAGAATTTGCACCTTTGTGAGAAAAACTTCTCCAGAGCAGCTCAAAGATCATTTCATTTGCAAATGCGGACGTGGCTTAGAGGTGGTGGAAACCCAGGGCTCCTGGGCACATGCTGGAGCACTGCCACTCCTTACCTGGTGTGGAGACCAAAATCTGACAGCGCGTGAGGATGGCCAGGAGGAAATCGTTGTGAGAATGCACTGCAAGGGAAGGCCAGCAGGTCAGACCCCAGCGCCCACGCACAGGGCTCCACGCGCAGCCGGCTCTGCGGCCGAGATCCCCCACCACCCTGCACTCCAGGCACCACATTTCAAGATGATTTCATATGCTATTAAGGCCAAAATTTTCTTTTTCAAAAAGTGAAAAGTCCTTAATTTATTGCAAACCTGGGAAGACATCCAAACAGCAGAATAACCCCCGTATTATCACCGTACCATTGTCCTGTGTGAGCAGCCGGTGGGCCTCCAGGTCAAACTCCTCCTTGCTGATCTTCTGCTTGAACCACAGCTTCAAGTTGGCCCAGTATCTGCAGAGGAGAATGGGCAGTAAGAACCCGCGCTGCCCTCCCAGGACACCCGCCTGCGCCAACTCCCGGGGAGAAACTCCGCACTCCCTGGCACTGCTGGCTGGACTGTCCCCTCAGAATCACACATGGAAGCCCCAACCCCACACCCCAAGAGTGACCACTTGGAGACAGGGCCTGTAAGGCAGCAGGGGATTTAAGGGGGACCACTGGTGGGGCCCAAATCCAACGTGACAGGCCTCCAGACAGGGACAGCGGATGGATGCCGCCCCTGGGCCTGAGCCTCCATACTGTGAGGAGTCCAGCTTCTGTTGTTTAGCCCCTGAAATCAAGAGCACCAAGCAGGAAATGCTCTCCTCCACAGGGACGGCCGGGGTCTCAGAACGGACTCCACTCACAGGACCTCCGCCCAGAGCCCACATCCACCCACGGTTCACGGAAATCCACAGGAGCTGGGCAGAGCGGGTGGCTGTTGGCACCTCCTGGGGGCAGTGCCCTGCCTTTTCATCTGCCTCGCTTGAGGTTCACCCCCAGAAGCTCCTGGAGGTAAGGAAGCCAGACCCAACCCCAGGGAGGGGACGCCTCCGCCTTCTGCTCCTCAGCACCATGGGAACAGGAGGGACTCCAGTCTCCCAGGCCACAACTCTTGTTTGGGGGCTTCTTATTCATGGAACGGGATTTTAAAAATGGCTCAGTAAATGCCTCACCACTTTCAACTCAAGCTTACCTATCTTCTAGAGCTCATCTGAGTTCAGGAAAAGAGAGGCTTCCCAAGTGAGGCTCAGCGCCCTGGGGGTCAACCGCAGGCAGGACGGAAACCCAGGACCTTTACAGTCTTAAAGTGACACATAACCTATAACACTGCCACTTTGGAGCCTATTTCAACAGCAGAACACGTTCAGCTCTACCTGACACCTTTCACTGATAACCCCGCTCAGCAGGTCACTAGCAACTTCACAAGGGTAGACACATTCATGTTTTTCTTGAAGGACAGGAACAATAAAGAAGTGAGTACAATAAAGCTCTGCAGAAAACCAGAGGTCCTGTCTCACGCAGTCTAACAGGAGACGGAAGGAGAGCCCCGCTGTGCGAAAGCCCTGGCCGCCTTCGACAAGATGGCCATGCAGCCCTTTAGGAGCGCGCGCGCTTTCCAGGACCAAGACGTGGCTCTCCCAGGCTCTCTTCTCCAGGGCCGACCTCCCAGCCCCACAGCCAGCGCCACTCAGAACCCAAGAGCTGCTCCCCAGGCCCACCCTGTGCTGACTCGGGGAGCAACAGGGATGGCAGCTGCACCACACTCAGAAGGGAGCCAGTCACTGTCCTCAAGGCAAGGGTGAGGTGGCAGTGCTCACAGACACGGGCAGGCCAAGAGCAGCTGCGGCCAAGGGCCCCCAAGACGCGGCATCTATGGGAACACGAACCCCACCATTACTAGGCAAGCTGAGTCTGCTAGTGAAGTCCACCTCCCTCTGGAACGGCCACAGTCGGACTCCACCAGGTGCGGAGGACCCGCAGACCCTGGGTGAACAGCGCAGCGCACCTTGTTTTACCCACACCCAGGATCACATTCCAAGGGCAGCTGCACACAGCAAAGCCAAGGGCCCTGGAGGGAACCTGGGCTGGACTGGAGCAAGGCAGACTGTGCAACCAGAGGCCCCAACCAGAGGCCCCGCGGCCACCCGCACTGGCGCCGAGGCAGGGAGAGCACAAGCTGAAGCACGTCCCTGAGACCTTCTCCAAAATAAGGTTCTTAAGGCGGTGGGGATGTGGCTCAGGGGCAGCGCACTCAGAGTCCAACCCTTGCCACTGCGGGGTGGGGGCTTGAAACACAAATGCATAACAGCGCCACGGCAGGACCGCCAGATCCCGCTTCAGCACCCAGCCTTGGCCCTCAGCACAGAACAGGGCGCCAACTTCCCAACGCTGCTGGGCTCCTGGGGGGACAATGGAGGGCACCTGCATGGGCTGAGGTCCCTCACACCGGCCGGCCCGGTCCTTCCGAGTCTGGGTCCTTCTGAGTTGGTGCCGGGTAAAATGAACACTTTCAAATATTTGTAAGGTTCTAGACAAACCAGCGAAGTCGGCACTGGGCCCAGGAAACGTACCCCTTATCCGTGCGGGCAAACCAAAAGCGCCTAACTGGCCCAAGGCGGGATCATCAAATGAGCAGAGTCTAGACCACAACCGCGAATGCGAAAGCCTTAAGGAGAACACCGTGTGGGGAAGGCCAGGTGCTGCCCACACACGTGACACATTCTACCTTTGTCAAAGTTCGACAATCAAATCAACTGCCACCCCAAACTCACACACGAAGGAACCTCGGAAGATCACACACGGCACCCAAGCCCGCAACTTCGCCATCACAGAGCGGCTAAGAAGGTGAGGCGGCGGCGGTGCTGGGCAGACAGCACGCCTCCTGCGGGACGCCCCCCGGAGCCCGCCCCGGCCGCCTCCTCCAGGACGACCCCAGCCCTCCAGGACGCCCCACAACCCTCCGGGGCCACCTCCTCCAGGACGCCGCCCAGCCCTCCAGGACGCCTCCTCCAGGACGCCCCCCAACCCTCCAGGACGCCCCCCAACTCTCCGGGGCCACCTCCTCCGGGACGCCGCCCAGCCCTCCAGGACGCCTCCTCCAGGACGCCCCCCAGCCCTCCAGGA